CACAAACAGCTAACAATTGCAAAGTGCAAGGTTCAATCAAGGACTCCCAGAACTTTAAAGAAAACTCTCTAGCGACGTTGGTTAAACCTGACTTTCGCGGCGGCCGGGTGACGAACTCCTTGTGGTCCGGGTTCACTCCCGGGGGTAAGCAGAAAAGCCACATTTCTCCCAGATTAACGGTACCTATAATGGAATCAAGGCCGAAGGGTTGCGATATCCATAGTACCGAGCCAAAGGGTTTACAACTCATGGTTTCTGGATACGTAAAAAAAAATTTAAAAAAATAAAAAATATTCATTTCTCAGGATGTAGCTTCCACTTTAAATCAGTTACAGCATAAAAAGCAGACACTATATGGGGAAACTAGACGTTGCATCTTTAATTATAACACAATTATATAAAAGCATGCTGGAAAAAAAGACACGACGAGCTGGTGGCGAAAATGAATTACTGGGAAATATGACCGTTCAACTGCATGGGCAAATCAAAAAAAAATAGTCAGAGGAAAGAAAGGTCTAGTGGCAGAAACGATAAAATGATGGACTTTATGCCTTGAGGAACTTTTTCCTGCACAAATGAAACTGGATGTCAAATTTGTGAAACTATCTAAAGAACACATGCTTACCTCGTAATAATTCAGTATTACTAAATGGCAGACTCCTAATACAACCATTCAAATCAACAAGGTGTGGTCTTCCCAAAGAAGGTTGGCTGTAATGGCTGTAATTGTTGTTCGTCCCTCTCTTGATTGCATTTTCCCATTGTATCGCTGTCTACCGTTTGATTGCTTGCCTCCAACTTTTCCCTCCAGCATGGTGCTTACAAGAGTGATTTTTAATGTGGCTGAAATACTTCACATGTCTCTCCTTTCAATATGTGTTTCAGCAATGCTCTTTCAATCCCTGTTCAACACTTCTGCGTTTGAATGTTTTAGTCGGCATGGAGTGCGACACATTGTCTTTTTATCCAAACCTGAAGAGAATCAATATGACTTTTTATTTGTTTGTGAGCCCTCTCACTGAGTTCATTCACAAAGCTGTAGCCTGCACCCAGGGACGCAGCTACAACCATGGATCTAGCACACAGAGGACAAGTTTGAGAATCCCCGAGGGTGTCGAGAAATCTCAACCGGAACTTAGCAACGACTGAAATCAGTTTAAAGTCTTGCTCAGAGAAAGGTGACAGTCTCGAACTTACTACTGCCCCGGTCTTCGTTCCGGTCTCGTCTACAAGTAAGTATGTCGATTAAATACACGCTCTTTTTACCTATACGACACGGATATAACCTATGTGCACCTTTCTACTTCTAACTCAAGCCTGAGTTGAAAGAATCTCAGTGCAGTTCATGAACTCTAATGCACCGGCAAGGATTCGGAAATACTTTGCCACTTTGGGTAGATTTGTTCCGACTCAAAATTTTGCCTGGATAGTGCCATGAAGCGACTACCAATGTATTTTTTACGTATGCAACAATACACACGGGCGTCCGGTCTTACTACCCAGAGACCAGGGGAAATTACTAGAAGTCTAGAAGCCCACATAAAAAAATCCCAGCCTTCACTGGGATTTGTACCCGGGACCTCCAGCACACGAAGTATATGCCTTACCTCGAAACCACTTTCAAGAAAACAGCATGTCCTCACTTGCCTGTAGTTGAGTAAAGTTAGATTTCCTGGAAAAGGCTGCGTCATTGCAATCTGAAATCTCAGACATGAATATATTCCTGGACAAGTGGATTTCTTGGAAACAGCCAACAAACAACAAACAAGCTGTTGCAGGGTAGGGGAAGGGACTTTCACATGGGGAAGTTAGTTTATTTTGTGATTTAGAATACTTCTCTAGCAGACAGTCTGTAGCAGGCACATTCACCAGTAGACTAGCCCTGCAGAGACAAGCTTCCATAAGTGTGCTTTATAAGGGAACACTAAAGCTTGTGTAATGTGAGGCTCAGTCTCCGTTTGGAGACCAGTAGATTATCTTGTTCATCCTTGCTGGGCTGTATGTAGTGTTAGTCATTTATAATATTGGATGCTTATGTTTGTTTATCCTATACTGTTCTTACTCCATACTGTGTAGGTTACGTATGTCGGCATCTGTGGCACTGCATACAGGGTTTATAATTCGATGATGCCAGGTTTGATCCCACCTGTAGGTGATCTGGCAGCAGACCGCCTTGCATTGGTTTTAGCACTGGTATCGAGAGTCAGGAAGCAATGGCAAACTAATGAATGAAAAACTGTCTAGTAAAATCACAATAATCCCCAAAAAAATGCTTGGGTTGTAACTGCAAACTTTTGTACAGCAGGTGTGTCAAACAGACCCATGCAAGCACACCTGCAGCCCGTTGCATGCACACCTGTGGCTTACACTAAGGAAATATTGTGCAATAATTGTTATTACATGACCTTAGTTATTTGTCGTGTGTGGCCTTGATGACCACACAAATGTGACCCATCCGGTCCTCAGGGGGACCCACAGTTTGACATGCCTTCCGTAAAGTATACGCAGCTAAATTTTATTTAGCCGCCAGCATTTCAGGGAAATATTTCTCCCATGTTTCTGTTCTGCAGATGTGAAGACTGGTTCAGAAGACTGTTTTAGACAACACTTACGTATTCCTACTCCTAGGGCTAAATACAAATATTTTTTTTTAAATATTAAAAAAAAAACACTGTAGGACACTAACACTGTATGTCACTGTTTTATCAGGGTAAAAAGCACCAACATATGTTCAAACTATTCAGTGTGGGAAACATGGAGACGTGACCCTGCAGCTTGGCACCAGAAGATGCTGAGCAAGTGCTCCAACACTGTCAGTTGTATCATCTGCCAACTGAGACGCAATATGGGCTGTTCTGACCACAGTGAAGACAAAGCTGTATGGTACATGTGGAGATAATTGACTGTAGGATAGCTTTCATAAAGGCTACCGGCCTCCTGATAAAAAGTTTTCTGACAAAAAAAGACAAAGACTGCAAGCAAGCCAGTATACAAAAAAAAAATCAATTCCTAAAGATAGGATGAGAAAGACAAACACACAGCAGTTGGAGGCTTTGGTGGCAGCGTTTATTGACAGAAATGGCAACAGGTGCAACATTTCAGCTTTGTGACTGAACTGTGTGAGAGTAATCCTACAAAGTGCATCTGTTACTTTTTGGAAATTTAATAAGTGCTGTCTAGCCCTGGAAAACTAACCATTGTTGTGTTTTTTGTTGATAAAGGCTAATGCTGAAATATCTGGTTGTTCTTATTTGTCTGTGTTGTTCCTTTTCCTACCTTTTTTGAGCTTCTTAGGCACATTTAGTGGATGCATTTTTTTTGGTCAGGGTTGTTCTAAGCTAGAAACACAGATGGTTATTTTTTGAGACACAATCATGTATGATTGTCATTGTATCAGCTAGTTAATTCTGTTCTGCTTCAACAGATTTGACACTATCATGTATGACTGTCATTGAATCAGCTACCTAATTCTGTTCGGTTTCAACAGAGTTGACACAATCATGTATAATTGTCATTGTATCAACTAACTAATTCTCTTCTGTTTCAACAGAGTTGACACAATCATGTATGACTGTCATTGTATCAGCTACCTAATTCTGTTCTGTTTCAACAGAATTGACACAGTCATGTATGATTGTCATTGTATCAACTAGCTAATTCTGTTCTGTTTCAACAGAATTGACACAGTCATGTATGATTGTCATTGTATCAACTAGCTAATTCTGTTCTGTTTCAACAGAGTTGACACAGTCATGTATGATTGTTATTGTATCAACTAGATAATTCTGTTCTGTTTCAACAGAATTGACACAGTCATGTATGATTGTTATTGTATCAACTAGATAATTCTGTTCTGTTTCAACAGATTTGACACAATCATGTATGATTGTCATTGTATCAGCTACTTAATTCTGTTCTGTTTCAACAGAATTGACACAGTCATGTATGATTGTTATTGTATCTACTAGATAATTCTGTTCTGTTTCAACAGATTTGACACAATCATGTATGATTGTCATTGTATCAACTAGCTAATTCTGTTCTGTTTCAACAGAGTTGACACAGTCATGTATGATTGTCATTGTATCAACTAGCTAATTCTGTTCTGTTTCAACAGACTTGTCACAATCATGTATGATTGTCATTGTATCAACTAGCTAATTCTGTTCTGTTTCAACAGAGTTGACACAGTCATGTATGATTGTCATTGTATCAACTAGCTAATTCTGTTCTGTTTCAACAGAGTTGACACAGTCATGTATGATTGTTATTGTATCAACTAGATAATTCTGTTCTGTTTCAACAGAGTTGACACAGTCCTGTATGATTGTCATTGTATCAACTAGATAATTCTGTTCTGTTTCAACAGAGTTGACACAATCATGTATGATTGTTATTGGATCAACTAGATAATTCTGTTCTGTTTCAACAGAATTGTCACAATCATGTATGATTGTCATTGTATCAGCTACCTAATTCTGTTCTGTTTCAACAGAATTGACACAGTCATGTATGATTGTTATTGTATCAACTACCTAATTCTGTTTTGTTTCAACAAAATTGACACAGTCATGTATGATTGTCATTGTATCACCTAGCTAATTCTGTTCTGTTTCAACAGAGTTGACACTGTATGATTGTTATTGTATCAACTACCTAATTCTGTTCTGTTTCAGCAGAGTTGACACAGTCCTGTATGATTGTCATTGTATCAACTAGATAATTCTGTTCTGTTTCAACAGAGTTGTCACAATCATGTATGATTGTTATTGTATCAGCTAGCTAATTCTGTTCTGTTTCAACAGAGTTGACACTGTATGATTGTCATTGTATCAACTAGCTAATTCTGTTCTGTTTCAGCAGAGTTGACACAGTCCTGTATGATTGTCATTGTATCAACTAGATAATTCTGTTCTGTTTCAACAGATTTGACAATATCATGTATGACTGTCATTGTATCAGCTAGTTAATTCTGTTTTGTTTCAACAGTTGACACAATCATGAAACTGCACGCAGAAAGTGTGCAGGATGTTGCCAGTGCCTCCAATTTCTTTGAGGTGAAGACTCGGCACCTCCACCTGGATCTGACAGTGAACTTTGAAGCCAGGGAGATCCGTGCCTGGGCAGAGCTGACGTTGGTCAGTCTCCGGGATGATCTGCAGACAGGTCAGCTTCATGAACCTAAGACATCCTTGTTATTTGATTATTATCTGTGTCATGTAGATAAGAGACTTTCAGGTTGTCCTGAGTGCATTTTTGTTGATTCTTTATCATAATCATAATCTTCCTTTTCTTAACGTTCTTCCACTCTAGACTCCAGGCGAAAGTTCTGGTTGTTCATCCACTTATGGACCATAGTCTTGTTTCAGAACATGAGTTTTACATGCACAGTTCTTTCACATCTGGATTATTTTTATGCACTGTTAGTTTCTCCCCTCTGAGGCAGGTGCGCTTGACTGTGAAGGAGACATCCCTGATTAATCAACTCTTATGGCATGCTTGTTGGGGTGGGGGGGGGGGGGGATTGGGTCTTTTCTCTCCCACAGTGAGGCCCCTGAATCTGCGTTAATGTAATCAGAATTAGAGCAAAAATATTAGTTGTCGACTAGTTTTTTTTTTTTTTTTTTGTGGTCTTCAAATTCCTGAGCAAGTTTTGTTGTTTTTGTTTCCCTGTTGGTCACTCAAAGGATGTGACACAGACGGTTTAGCGTCAGAGAACCAAGATGTAGCAGGTCTTTCATCAAACATCACTACCATCAAAGCTCACAAAGTCCTTTGTTAACTAGTTGTATCATGGATTGTCTTGCCCAAGCTGTTTCCTGTGTCTTATGCTTAACTTTGTGTAGATTGACTCCTGCCTCTTTTTCCTGTGCCATGCCCTCTATCATTGTTCTCTGCAAACCATTGCCATGTTTGATATGACCGAAGCGCTTTACTTTCTGAGACAAGTTGTTATTTATATTTATGAGCCAGTTTTCTTTGTTGTTAAGAATGTTAGTATTTCTTTTTCCCCACTCCTTGATCATGTGTATTGTGAGAACCTTTCAGCTCAGAAGCCCAGAAAAATTCTGCAGCTCACTTAGTGTGTTGCTACAGGAGAAGTGCGTACATCCATCACACATAGAAAAAACATCCCTGACCTCGATGGCAAAAAGAGATATAAAGAAATCAGATTTTGGGGCTCAGAAGAGCAAGACTGAGGAGGAAAATAGCTGCAACCTGGCAAACTATATGTTGCACATGAAAGATGTCAGGAATCATGTGATAGCTTCAAATAAAGTTCACATGCAGATTTGGTTTAGTGAAATATTTTTTTTTCTGTATGACAGTGTTCTTGGATTCTCATGACACACTGACCATCAGTGAGGTCAAGGTGAAGGCCACAGGTCAAGCCACATTTTCTGTCCAACCATTTGCAAACTATGGAAGCCAGCTGGTTGTCACTGTAAGTATACCCATGGTTAATAGTTTTGATTGTTTGTGTTATATAAATGAGCTGACAGCCATGATTATGTTTTATTGTTTCTGAAAATAATACTGCTACAGATATTACTGCTGCTGCTGCTTCCCGTGTGGGTTCAAGGACCCTATTATAGGAAAAAAATAGACCCACTGCCTACCCAAAAGCATGTCGTAAGAGTCAACTAAATGGGAGCTTCCTTCAAAGTCGGAGTGCATCTGTCTGAGAGGCAAGGAACCAACAGTCTGCATACAAATGAGTAAGGTCTGTAGAACAGATGCACACACAACACTCAGGTTTTGAAACAGGCCTGCAGTCCAGAAGTGGATGAACAACCAGAACTTTCTGCCAGAGTTTACAGCTGGTGAACGCGAGGAAGAAGAAGACTGCTGCTGCTTTTTTGACGTTGTTAATAAAGATACTGGTACGACAAATACTAGTCCTGTTGCAGCAGTTGTAACTAATAAAGATACTAATACTATAAATAGTAGTGCTAGACATTACCATTACTATGTTATCAATACTACTACTACTACAAACACTAGTCCTACTACAGCAGTAGTTGCTTATATTGATACAACTACAACCACAACCACAACTACACTTCTGCTATTACCACAGTGTCCTCTCTCCCCAAATAGAGATCACTTTAGTTGCTGGAGCCATTTATCTTGAATGGCAAATGGAGGTATTGCTAAAGATTTCCTTTAAGGCTAACTAGCCACACAAAAAAGGCCAGTCTAAAGATTCTAATTGTGATAGGAAAACCTTGGCTCAGGTACAAAACAGATGGAAGAGATTGGCAGCAGTCAGACAACAGACAGATATTCTTAGAGATGGGTGTAAAAAACGGACTAGAGTGCAGTCTGATCCAACAAATTAAGGACATAAGACACAAGTACAGAATTCTTGCAGTGGGACCTGCCTCATCTAACAGAGACAGAAATTGTGACAGAGGTTGTTTCTCTTACATCTAAAGTTTTAGCCACCAGTGCTGCTGACAGATGTCTGCCCAGTGGTACAACTCTACAGTCCTGCATGACTGAATACTACTACTGCAGCTGCAGCAGGAGCTGTGTTAGCACCTGGCATGCTTGCCTGTCGTTAAATCGTCACAGGTTCCAGTCTGTATCTACTATTGCTAATACTACTATTGCTACTACTACTACTGCTACTGCTACTACTACTACTACTACTGATGCCACTGCTGCATGAGTTGTGTTAGCACTTAGCAAGCTGGCCCCTCAGTTCAGTGGTAACAGGTCTGTATCTGTTGAGTTTTTTAAATTAACCTAAGCTTCCTGGTGGAGCAGCCTTTATTTTCCATAAACATATCCCATAACCTACTTAGCTATTGTCATAGACCTGCAGAGTCTGTGTGTGTGAATGGAAGAAATAACAGACCTGAAGATTGTGTGTCCCCCTAATCCTGGGTTGATTGCTTGGTAGGTAAATGTTGTAAACCTTGAGAAGGTTTCTTGTGAATGTGACAACATCCTGGCAGCTAGAAATTGACAAGAATAAGACGGGCAGCTTGTCTTGTGTTTAAATCTGACAAAGCCTACCCACCAATAGTGCTAACAATAGGTGTCATTCTGGTGTTACGCTCCATCATCTTCAGCAGCTAGTGATGACTTCCTGTGCTGACTTCCATTAGCTTTTTGATTATTTTTAGGACATTACCTCTTCTTACATAAAATCTGGTCATATAAAAGCCAAGCCAGGTTTTAGCACATTGTCTGCAAGTTGACACTTAAACCTTTCAGCTGCCTGCCCCAAAAACAGAATGTATTGTGACATTAGTTACAGGGTTATTATGACAGTAGTTACAGGGTTATTGACAGTTTATTATATGACAGTAGTTACAAGATTATATATGACATACAAGATTATATATGACACTAGTTACAAGATTATATATGACACTAGTTACAAGATTATATATGACACTAGTTACAAGATTATATATGACACTAGTTACAGGATTATATATGACACTAGTTACAAGATTATATATGACACTAGTTACAAGATTATATATGACACTAGTTACAGGATTATTAGTTACACTATTTACAGGATTATATATGACACTAGTTACAAGATTATATATGACACTAGTTACAAGATTATATATGACACTAGTTACAAGATTATATATGACACTAGTTACACAAGATTATATATGACACTAGTTACAAGATTATATATGACACTAGTTACATTATATATGACACTAGTTACAAGATTATTATGATGACACTAGTTACAGGATTATATATGACACTAGTTACAAGATTATATATGACACTAGTTACAAGATTATATATGACACTAGTTACAAGATTATATATGACACACTAGTTACAAGATTATATATGACACTAGTTACAAGATTATATATGACACTAGTTACAAGATTATATATGACACTAGTTACAAGATTATATATGACACTAGTTACAAGATTATATATGACACTAGTTACAAGATTATATATGACACTAGTTACAAGATTATATATGACACTAGTTACAAGATTATATATGACACTAGTTACAAGATTATATATGACACTAGTTACAAGATTATATATGACACTAGTTACAAGATTATATATGACACTAGTTACAAGATTATATATGACACTAGTTACAAGATTATATATGACACTAGTTACAAGATTATATATGACACTAGTTACAAGATTATATATGACACTAGTTACAAGATTATATATGACACTAGTTACACTAGTTACAAGATTATATATGACAACTAGTTACAAGATTATATATGACACTAGACATTATATATGACACTAGTTACAAGATTTTATATATGACACTAGTTACAAGATTATATATGACACTAGTTACAAGATTATATATGACACTAGTTACAAGATTATAGATACACTAGACACACTAGTTACAAGATTATATATGACACTAGTTACAAGATTATATATGACACTAGTTACAAGATTATATATGACACTAGTTACAAGATTATATATGACACTAGTTACAAGATTATATATGACACTAGTTACAAGATTATATATGACACTAGTTACAAGATTATATATGACACTAGTTACAAGATTATATATGACACTAGTTACAAGATTATATATGACACTGACACTAGTTACACTAGTTTACATTATATATGACACTAGTTACAAGATTATATATGACACTAGTTACAAGATTATATATGACACTAGTTACAAGATTATATATGACACTAGTTACAAGATTATATATGACACTAGTTACAAGATTATATATGACACTAGTTACAAGATTATATATGACACTAGTTACAAGATTATATATGACACTAGTTACAAGATTATATATGACACTAGTTACAGGATTATATATGACACTAGTTACAAGATTATATATGACACTAGTTACAAGATTATATATGACACTAGTTACAAGATTATATATGACACTAGTTACAAGATTATATATGACACTAGTTACAAGATTATATATGACACTAGTTATACATGACACTAGTTACAAGATTATATATGACACTAGTACAAGATATATGACACTAGTTACAAGATTATATATGACACTAGTTACAAGATTATATATGACACTAGTTACAAGATTATATATGACACTAGTTACAAGATTATATATGACACTAGTTACAGGATTATATATGACACTAGTTACAAGATTATATATGACACTAGTTACAAGATTATATATGACACTAGTTACAAGATTATATATGACACTAGTTACAAGATTATATATATGACACTAGTTACAAGATTATATGACACTAGACACTAGTTACAAGATTATATATGACACTAGTTACAAGATTATATATGACACTAGTTACAAGATTATATATGACACTAGTTACAAGATTATATATGACACTAGTTACAAG